CACCCCATGACTGCATGAGACTTTGGGGGCAGATCCAGACACATCAAGTAGGAATTGAATTAGAGCATAAGAATTATATGATCACAAGATAAGAAATTCAGTAACACTCAGGAGAATTTTCTACTCATAGAAAACAGCATGGAGGCATGTTATCTCCATGACTGTTTCATATAAATACGTATAAAATCTTAGAAACATGGCTCTTGAGTCAGTTTAATAAAATGTATTTAACAATATAACAAATCAGGACTGGCTACAGTCCTTTATTCATAGTAGACAGTAGTGTTATTGATGGCTTAGAATGAAAGGGATAAAATTAGTGTTATTACCTGTGGATCTGTTTGAACTAAATATTTAATATTTTCATTGTACCTTATTTAGAAAAATAAAAAAATTATTTGACAAGGCACCCAATCTGGAAATAAAAGAAGACTGTATCTTTTAAAGAAAATAATTATTAGTAAAATGAAACCATGATCAAAAATAAGAAAAGGGTAATACGTAGTACATGTGAGGAGAGAAATAATCTGTGCAAATTCAGGAGTACATATGGAAGGAAAAACAATCCAGGGATCAAACTGGATAAGTAGTGATTTTGTACCTAGTAACTATAAACTAAGTCTCCTGTTCATCATCACTTAGGTCATCACTGAGTTATTACATCTGACCTATTCCATACTATAGAAATATGTGGGAAGTTTTTTAAAGAGGCTCAGATACAAGGGGAAGAACAGGTCAAATTAAAGGCTAAATTAATTTGCCTTTAAATTGGATTAACAAGTAAATCAGAGGAAAGACTAAAGTAACATACTTGTTCTCTCATTTCAGGTCAGGGCTACTTATTGAACATACACTATATGTAAGACACTGTGATAGGCATTGAATGAAAGATGTAATACTTACCTGTAAGAAATTGTACAGTCTTGGTGGAAGAGACTGTTAATGAAAGAAAGTATATACCATGCCATGATAGTAGAAAAGAAGGACATCTTGCCGCATCTGAGCAGTCAAGGGAGATTTCCTGAAGAAGGTGAACTGAATCTTAAAGGTTGCTAGTGACTTTGAAGTTCTCTGTATAAACATACCTTCTCACAGAGTCCTTCCCTGTCTTCTCTAAAATAGCATGCCAAATCACTGTAAGTGTCTTAATCTGCACTATTGCTTTTCTTCCAGAGCACTCATCACTACTTATTATTGTTTGTTTATATGTCTTTAAGATACGATCTTCTTGTATGGCTCAAACTAGCTTCATGGGCTCAAGTGATCCTCTTGCCTCACCCTTCTGAGTAGCTGAGACTATAGGCACATAATACCATGCCTGGCCCACTGCCTATTACTAGACATATTTATTTGTTTTTGTTCCCCATCACTAGAATATAAATTATAATATTAGGGTCCTCCTCTGTCTCATTTACTTCTGTGTTCCCAATGCCTAAAATAATGACTGCAACATAATAGGATATTAGCAAATAATTCTAATTAATTAATTAGAAATTGGGTATGAAATACCTGTTTAGTATTCATTGGTAAAAGTGATTAAAAGGAATTAATTATGCTTTCTTCCACATCCCTTGTACAGATGAGGAATTAAAAGTTAAGAAGAACTAAACTATAAATATATATGGCTAAACATGCAAGTTTTGTCCAAATAAAACTACACTTTTTAAAGCTGGATAATGGTAGAAAATATAACCTTGTATGATGGATCCATAGTGTTCCTGAAAATGTGGTAGGTTAAGGCCTTCTTGAAATTGCTTTCTATTGTTAAACATTTGTGCTTAAACCATAAATGTGAATGTATAAACCCATCACATGTGTATGCTTATACATACACTTCATTGATCAGCACTGGAAATTAGCAAAGTAGATTTCAGGTGTAACCCATAATGGTCAGTGTTATTCCAGGCAAACAGAATGCTTTGGAATATAAGTACATATTGCCATGCTGCCTTACACTGACATCACTCAGACTGTGTTCACTATGGCTATCTCTGTGTAGCTCTCTCCTCTGTTCTTAATTGCAGGAACAGAGTAAGGCAAAAGGGAGCAAAGTAGATGCTATATCTAAAAAGACAAGAAGAAAAGTATTAAATTACTCCTTTCATTGCATTGTTTTCCTGTTACTGATTTGCTGATTTCCTTGTTTGTCTCTGTTGTTGTTTTTCCTTGTGCTTAGTTGCTTATCCTGCCAGGTGTATTAATTCTATTTGACTTGTTGGCATTGTTAGTGTCACTGTCTCTTTATAGGACATCCTTGAAAATTTCTTCATGCTAGTGTGGTGGTCATCAATTTCTTAAGGTGCTCCTTGTCATGGAAGTACCTTATATCTCTATCAATTTTGAAGGAAAAACATTTGAGATATATAAGTCAGGGTTGGAAGTTGTTTTCTTTTAGGGCTTGAAACACTTTGTTCCAAGTTCTGCTGGTCTTTCAGGTTGTGTGGAGGAGTCTACTGTAATTCTAACTGAGTTTTCCTTTATAGGTGATGTGTTGCTTTTCTCTAGCAATTTTTAAGGTTTTTGTCTCTGTGATGGACTTTTGGTATTTTGATCATAATGTGACCTGGGGAAATTTTTTGATTATGTGGTTATCTGGAGTTCTGTAGACCTCACTATGTGTTTTTTTCTTTCCCTGTATTTGGAGGATTTTCTGCCATTATTTTTTTTGTGAACAGGTTTCTTATGCCATTTGTGTTATCTTCTGATTTTTCACTTAATCCAGTTAATCTTAGATTAGTCTTTGCATCATTTAACAACTGTTGAATCCATTTTTCGTGCTCTTTTGTTGCTTTTAGGGTATCTGAGTAGGTGGTTTTTAAAGGCATCATTGTCTTACAATTCTCAAATTCTGTCCTTACACTGGTTGCTTCTGCTGCCCATATTTTCAAAATAATTTTTAATCTCCTGGATTTCTGATTGAAACTTTTTCATGGACTCTAGTTCTTAGCATAACTGATCATTCATATTTTGTACTATTTTGTTTAGCTCAGCTACCTTTTTATCAGTGCCTTAAAAGCTCCTGGATCATTTTGGTTATTACAGTAAGTCCTGAATTACAAACATATAAGTTGCAAACAAATCACAGAAGTAGCTCACATGTCTGCTGAAAATTGTCATGGTTGTGCTGTTGTGTGCTTACTAGACATTGCAATAGTATACAGTAGTACAGTGCTCAATCAGAGCCCAGGATGTCCAGAAGCAGAGAAAAAGCTTTACATTGTATATTTGTGTAAGGTGTGTAAGACTCACTTTGTCAGACTTATAAATGAAAGTGACCGAAGAATGATCTCCTAGAATGGAAGTAGTTTGTAAGTTGGGATCTTACTGTACTTCTATTTTGTTTAATTCTCTTCTGTGATACCACTGAATATCTCTTTGATCTGTTTTCTAACCTCTTTTATCCTTTCAAGTACTTCAGATATGTGGTTTATACTATTCAGTACCTTTCAGTAATAACTCTCAATGTAAATGATCTCAAGTCCCCAATCACACAGATTGGCAGACCGAATCATGAAACAAAACCGAAAAATATTCAGTATACAGGAAACACATTTAATTCAAAAAGAAAGTCACAGATTAAACATCAAAGGATGGAATATTCCATGTGACAGAAACCCAGAAAAAAAGTACAAGTAGCTATCCTAATCACAGACAAAGTGAATTTCAGGCCAGAATTAATCAGAAGAGACAAAGATGGTCACTACATAATGGTTAAGGGAAAAATTCAACAGGAAGAGATAACAGTTATAAATATATATATGCACCAAACACCAGTGCACCCAACTTCACAAAACAAACACTGATGATCATGAAAATCAGATAAACACTGTGTTAGTTTACTTTTCTCCTTGCTGAGACAAAATACCTGACAACCAAAGTTAAAGGAAGAAAGCTTTATTTAGCTTGCCATTTGTAGAAGTTTCACTCCATAATCAGCTGGCTGGAAGGCAGAGTGGCATGGCAGACAGGATCACAGAGGAGAAACAGTTCATGACCAAGCAGAAGGTGGCAATGCAGTAGAGCAGGTAGCACTCACACCCTTAATCCTAGTACCCTTGGTGCTAGTATTTCACCATGAATCAATCCCAACGTAACACATTCTTGATCCAGCCACCTCTAAAAATGCCCCACCTATGACTGTGTGAGGTTTAGGGGGGACACCAGTACAAACACCAATACAGTTGTAATGGAGAACCTCAGTACCCCACTATCACAAATAGATCAACTCGGCAAAAATATCAACAAAGAAAAATCAGAGTTGAACCAAATCTTCAAACAAATGGACTTAATAGATATCTACAAAATAGATCTATGAATATCCCTCATGCTCATGTACTGTGATCAGCTACTTTCAGTTAAAGGTAGAATTACTAAAAAGTATTAACTGTGCCATATAATTAATATAGCCAGAATATCTTAGTTTTAAAGGAAAAATTTTTAACTGAAGTTTTGGAGTCTTCTCAGTAACCTCTGGGATTCTTGACTTTCTTCTAGAATTTTTCATGCTTTGAAACCACCCATCTTTATGGTATTTAATCTAGGTAGGAAATCTATTACCATTATTCTTGGAATGTGTGTCTTTCAAAAGCCCTTATAAAGCTACTAATTCTTACTATAAATCATAAATTCCTTAGATTTGGGGAAAGCTTAGAAATAAACATGCTGATACTGCCCAAGATAAATGATATAGTGTCATTTTTTTCTGCCACTAGTTAGATAACCAAACTGCCACATTTTAAGGGATTTATATATTTTGGTTTATTACCTACATATCTGACTATCCTCACTCTGCAGTAGCTGCTAGAATGTACTAGTTACCATTCTCCTGTCTTCCAAGAGAGGTAGCTTGTTCAGGAGTTGCTGTGAGACTCAAAGAAATGATCACTTTTTTCTCTGTATCTGATAAATTTATGGAACCTTCAGTATATCAGGTAATACTTGTTAATTTGCATACTTCCATGACTACTTAGATTTCTAAAATGTATTATTTGTTTTTATAGGACAATGAAGGTCAAACAGCTCTTCACTATGGTAAGATGTTTCAAAATTATTAAATGATCATATTTGAACATTTTTTCTATTTGTTTGTCTCAACTTTGTTCAACCCTATGTAGTGCTTACAAAAGTACCTAGTAGCTAGCACAGATATAACTTTTGGCTGTTAATCTAACAAATAAATTAATAACCTATAAAGTTGGAGATGTATTAAAATTCTTATGGGCATGTGAGTAGTAAATTAAGCATTTCTGTACTGTCATCAGGAAAGTGATGGCTCCTCCAGCCTCCTGTTGAAACTTCAGTATTTCACTCTTCATATTGTCAGTGGCATCTAAGATGCTAATCACTGTCAATGAGGATCTAGCATTTCTCAATAAGAAACACTTTCTTGATGTGCAGGAGGCTCCATAAGTGCAATTTTGCTTTCTGCAGTTTTCAGTTACCACAGTTTACTGTGGTCCAAAAATATTAAATATTCTGAAATATTCATAAGTAAATAATTAATAAATTTTAAATTGTATTCTGCTCTGAGTAGTATGATAAAATCTCATGCCATCCTGCTACGTCAGCCCAAGACATGAATCACTCTTTGTCTGATCTACTCATGCTACATATAGTGCACTTCCCATGTGTTAGTCACTTATTAGCCATCTCATTTATCAGCAACTGGTCCCTGTGCTTGTGTTCAGGTGACCCTTTGGTAGTATCTAAACATTGGTAGTATCCAAACAATGCCTGCATCATTCATCTCACTTCAGCTCATCATGTAGGCATTGTACTGTCTTATATTATGAGAAGAAAGGTGAGCACAATACAATAAAATATTTTTGAAAGAGATCACATTCATATAACATATTAGTGTATTGTTATAATTGTTCTATTATTAATTATTGCTGTTAATCTCCTACTGTGCCTAGTTTATAAACTTTACCATAAGTGTGTATGTATATGTAGCATATATATATGAAAAACATGGTTGTATATAGGGTTTGACATTATCTGAGATTTCAAGAAGCCACTAGAGGTCTCAGAATATATTCCTCAGAAGATAAGGAGAGACAACTATAATAAAAGTTAAACAAATTTGAGTTTTAACTCATTTCTGCTACTAACTGATCATTGTAGTTAAGTAATATTTATATGAGTAACCTGTAAAGTAGAGTAAAAATAATAGTATGGCTCTTAGAGAACTATTAGAAATTATTAGCAAAATAAAAGGTATTTATTTCATAAAGTGTAAAGTATGTAAATATATTCAAAGAATCTATTTGTTTGTGAATATGGTTGAATTACAGGCAGTTGTCAATATTTAAACCAGATTAAGGATGAACCACCTGCAGACATTTTGGGAAAGGATACATTAGGCCATTTTGCTTTTGTTGGCAAACCCAGTCTGCTATTTAGTATGCAGTGGCCCAAATGCTCTTGGACATCTTTGTCCACTGCTTTGCATTTATTTGGATATCAGATACCTCAGTGGGTTATCTGGGAGTTTAAACTATTGGACTATCTGTCATCCTCCCCATATAAGTCAGCCTGATAGTGAAGATTAGAATGTCAATGAATGTCTACTGCAACTTATTTATGAATTTATCTAGTATAACCTGGAGACTTCAACTAGCAGGGAAAAAAAGTAAATTGTGAGTCAGTCTCACTTTGAATACAAATGTAGAAATTCTATGGTAAACATTAGCAAATTAAACCCAGCAGTGTTGCTGGGGATGTAGCTCAGTGGCATAAGCACTTGCCTGGCAAGCTTCAGGTCATGAGTTTGATTCCTGGTACCAAAAAAGAAAAAAAAAGTAAACTCATCAGTGTATTTTTTTTTTTACATATTGTTATCTACAAGATAGTTTCTCAGGAAAACAAGTAGACAAATAATAGTGAGTTACAGACAAAAGAGGTAGGAGATTATCAATAGTTGTTGTACTATACTTTGGTATTTTCAAAGTGGCTTCTAAAGAAAATGAATAGAGCTATACATGAGTGACCTATTGAATAATCATTAACTATTCTCAGTGGTTGTTGTAGGAAACACATAATAATAAACATGCATCCATTTACAAAATAGGACAGGCACAATACAAACATTACAGAGTTATGGATAGATTAGTAGGAAAATATCAATGGCTGCTGTAATACACAGTGGTATCTTCAAAGTGGTTTCTCAGGAAGACAGAGATACGCAACAAGGATCTAACAAGTAGTTACTGCCTAAGGGTTGTCAAAAATAGCATATTACCTCCTCACCAGTGACTCCTGTCACTGAGGTGTGATGGCTGGAAGGAAGGCCAGGATTGAAAAGAAGGACCGAGAGACTTGCACCTGTGTCTAGCAACAGGCTGTTTTCTTGTTCCTCCATAGTCATGATTACCCAGGGCTCCTCCATGGAGATGACTGTCTGGCCAGAGGGAGAAGGCAGAGTATGCCCCAGGCCCTCTCATTCCTGTTGGACTAACTGGTAGGATGGATCTGAGCACTTGGGCCTCTACTTCAGAGGGCAGACCGATCTCGAGTGGTCACCTTTGCATTCAGGGCATGGCCCATGAGGCCTCTTAGGGTAGTTCCTCTTGAGGTGGCCTGGCTTTTAACAGTGGTAGCAGATGAGTGCAGTAGTCGAGTTCTTCTTGGGGCCCTAGGAGTCAGACTTGGGGTCTGTTTCTCTTAGTGCTACAACAAAAGCAGCTGCTTTTTCTCAGTCTCTTTGTTTTCTCTCCTTGGCCTCCTCCTCATCATGGCTATAGAATAATGAGGAGGCAATTCTTACTAACATCTCAAGTGAGCCATATGGGGTGAAAGCCATTCTTTGTAGCATTTTCTCTCCAGCCTCCCAGCACATTGGGACCCCACAACCAGTTAGTGTCCTCTCCCCAACAGTCAGCACAGGCAGCAGGAATCTTGCTGCAGACCTCTCCAGAGCTCCACCACAGCCTGTACTGTCAGGGGAATAATGGCTTCCAGGGGGGTCTCCCCAGATATTGTGCAAGGTCCTCCTGGTTTACAGCTTCCGAACAGCTCTCACGACCCCAGTCCACTAGACCTTTGACTCCTCGGGCTTAGTCTGTATTCTCATGTTCTCTGAGTCCTTGTTCAGCAGCTGCTCCGCTGCTGACTCTGGACATTTCTGGCTGTCAACGACAGGAGCAAGAGTGACCCCTTGTGTGGCATGTATTCCCAGGGCTTTCTCCATGTTTGAATGATTCACACACGTCCATGGGTGGGCCTCTGCAGCCGGTGCGTGGTGGGCCAATTGTGTCACTGTTTCTCTGTGTCATGGTAGTTCTCAATTGAGCTGCAGTGGCTGGCCTAAGGCCGGTGCGGGACAATGCATACCGCCGTGCAGCTTCCTGGGCACCTGGGGCAATCCTTCCAGGCTCCTGCAAGGCAGGGAGCCAGCCCGAAGACCGGCACTCCCCGCCACGTGGCTTTCCGGGCACTGGGGGCCCTCTTCCCGGGCACTTGAGAGGCAGGGGGCCAGCCCAAGGGCCAGCACTCCCTGCCCCACTGCTTCCCGGGCACCGGGGGCCCTCCTGCCGGGCTCATGTGAGGCTGGGGGCCGGCCCGAGGTCCTGGGCTCCCTGCCCCACGGCTTCCCGGGTGCCCGGGGCCCTCCTTCTGGGTGCCTGTGAGGCAGGGAGCCGGCCCAAAGACCAGCGCTCCCTGCCGTGTGGCTTCCTGGGCAACATCAGTGTATTTTTAAAAGAAAAATATGTCATAACGAAATTAGGTTTATTCAAGGAATTGAACAATGATGTAAATTTTTTTTTTTTTTTTAGACAGGGTCTCGCTATTTAGTTTAAACTGGCCTTGAACTCACTATGTAGCTCAAGCTGGCCTTGAACTCACTGCAATCCTGCTGCCTCAGTCTCCCAAGTGCTGGTGTTACAGACATGCACCACCACGCCTGGTTTGATGTAACATTTTTAAATTTTTTAATGTTGTTTTCTACATTTGCAAATTAGGTGAAACACCATACAGTGAAATCAAATGCAGACAAAACTTTTGAGGAAAGTCAGTACTCATTCTACAAAGCAGTACAGAAAAGTTGTTAAGGCCTTTGCTCTTTTAAGCAAGACTTCTGTGTTCAAATTCCATTCTACTACTGACTTTGGACAGATTATTTAACTCTCTGTATTTCAGTTTCCTCCTGATGAAATAAGAATAGTAACCTCAGAAATTTGGTATGAGAACATAATAAGTTAATACAAGTAAAGTGCTTAGAACAGTGTATATATTCAGCTGACTTTACATTTTATGATAAAAACCCTTGATAAACTAGAAATGTGTAGTTAGGTAACAATAGATATAACAGCACTGCCACCAGAAGAGGGTCAGTGGAAGATACCTGTATAGGAGCAATGTTCCTATATATCCCTGGAATAAGGCTAGTTTAAATCTGAAGCTAATTCTGATAAGACCCGAATGGTAGGGGGCTGGGGATTTAGCTCAGTGGCACAGCGCCTGTCTGCAAGCACGAGGTCGTAAGTTTGATTCCCAGTACTGGGGCGAAAAAAAAAAAAAACAAAAAACCCGAATGGTAAATACTAGAGTGACTACTAAAGGAAAAAACTTAAAAATCTTAAATAAACAAAGAAATCAAAATAAGGCATTAACAATATAAACTGTTACATTCATTTAATGTAAAAGCAAAGCAGTAAAGGAAGACTAGGGGACCCAATATGAGATGACACCTATAGAAAAAAGGAGAAATAGCAGATGTAAATTCTGCTATATTAATCCAGTCAAAAAGCAGAGATTGTCATTATCATTAATCATTATTAATTATCATTAATTATTGTCTTCAAGAGACAATGCCTTTTAGAATCAGAGATATAAATATATTGAAAGTAAAAGGATAGAAAATGTATGTCATGCAAACAAACAACAAAAAAGTGGTGTGACTATAATATCAGACAAAACAGATTTTAAAATGTTACTAGAGATAAAGAAGCACATTTTATCACAATAAATAGATCAAACCATCAAGAAAACACAATGTAAATATATATGTACCTAGAGATGGTATTATAATA